CAGTGCTCTGTTAGGAACATAAGAAACAATCAGATCTCTGATATCAGATGGAGCTTGGCCATTTAAGGCTTTATATGTGAGAAGGAGGATTTTAAATTCTATTCATTTCCGGGACAAACTTCCTGTCCAGTGATGTTGCTGTTAGTTGGTCGGCTTTCGGGGTGAAAGGGAGTCCAGCCTGGTGCCACCAACATGTCTTCAGTGAATCTCCTCCTGGTGTCCACATGATAAACGTAGCAGGAAGAGGAAGCAGTGTAGATGTTTTCATAATCTACTGCAGCAGCGGCAGCAGAGATCACCCCAGGAGGGGATCCTGAACATCAGCTGGACTGAATCCAACTGTCACAACGACCATCTGGAGAATTTCACAAACCAGCTTTAAGTTAAATTGCAAAGTTCAGACTGTAAGTCTGGTTTCCCTCTGAGCTGGGGGCTGGATGGATGCGGTGGCTTTAAACAGCTCCACATATTTCTCTGCGCTCTCATGGGTTTTACATTTCTGCAGAATGGCCGTGTGAACCACAAATGTGGCCGCGCTTAAAACCGTGCGGAAAACACAACAATTAGATAAACATTAAACTTCTTTGTTGGTGATAATTACAGACGAAATGCCTCCAGTCCTGCTGCCAAACATGTTTTCAGTTTCTGCCTCTGTGTTTAGATTAAGATCCAAACACCCAGAGGTGCTGAGCCTCCTTCAGGACCCAATATTTATTTGGAGAATTGCAGTCAGATTATTGATGTATGAGGCCTGAGCTGGAGCCAAGTCCTTCAGTTAAAAGCCAAACATGATACTCAGCAAGCGGAGGGGGAGGGGGCGTGGAGGGAGGTGCTGGACCTTTCTTTAAAAACTTGGGAAAACAGAGAACACAGGGGAAGAGAAAGTCTACATTTCTCTATGTCATCAAGCAAAAGAAACATCAGGAAGAAATGAGATGCATTCTGACCGAGGAAAGGAGACAAATTTAAAATAAAACATGTCAGAAGGAGCAATAAATGAAAACACAAAAGGACATTAAAAGTTTCTGAAGATGAGAGAATGAAAAATGTGGGAAGGGCCTTAAGAGGAGGAGAGAAACGTGGAGAAGGGAGTGGAAAGACAGCTGAGAGGCAGCCGAAAGGAGAGGAGAGGAGAAGAAAGGAGAGGAGAGGAGAAGAAAGGAGAGGAGAGGAGAAGAAAGGAGAGGAGAAGAGAGGAGAGGAGAAGAAAGGAGAGGAGAGGAGAAGAAAGGAGAGGAGAAGAGAGGAGAGGAGAAGAAAGGAGAGGAGAGGAGAAGAAAGGAGAGGAGAAGAGAAGAGAGGAGAGGAGAAGAAAGGAGAGGAGAAGAGAGGAGAGGAGAGGCCGACTGCAGGAATAAAGGTTTCTGACGGAACAAATGAGGAGACCTGAGAGAAAGAAGGAAAAAAAGAAGCGGATCTTCTTGGTGGATTACATGCTGTGAACCTCTGCTGAGCTTCTGCAGGACTGAGCGCTATCAGGAGCGAGCAGGCAGCTGCCAAACCCTCACACACCCCTACCAACACACACACACTGAGATATGAGCGGCCTGCTGGGGACCTGCGCTGACAGTTGGGAAGAACTGGTTCCTCATCCTGTACGGTAGGTTCACTTCAGTGACTCATGTGGAGCGGATGTTTCTAAAGCTTTCATCAAAGCTCAGTCACTATCTTACCTGCTTCTGTGGAGCCTGAAGGAGGAATTCCCATGGGGGGGTCAAGGTAAGGCTTTAAAACATGATGTTAGTTTGTTAGGGGTCATCAGTAATGGATGGCGCCGTCCGTCATGTCAGCACTTTAACTCCCAACCAGCTGCTGTAGCTGGATGTCAGTGAATCTGCTGAGAGGCCAGGAATTTGGTTCCATTGTTGTTGTAAGGAAACATTTTCTACAAGGACAAAAATGTAGGAAAAAAACATTTTGTAAAATTAAATGTGATAAAAAAAGAAATGCAATCCAGATATTTTCAATGAATATTGTTGGGGGTGTTGGGCTACTGGTTAGAGCAGTCTGTGCTCTGAAAAGGTTGCCAGTTCCCGGTTCGATCCCCACAGCCTGCCACTCTGGGTCCCTGAGCAAGACCCTTAACCCCACACTGCTCCCCAAGGGGAGGGGTTAAACCAGCAGCTGCTGGTGGAGTTTTCTCTGGGTTATAAATTCAAAATAGACGTATACCAAAAACTGATCAAACTAACACTAAGTTATCACACCAGTTTATTTATATGAATGCCAAAAACATGATATAAACATAATTTCATGCACAGGTTGACTTTTTGTCCATAAATCTTTACCTTCTGAGGCTGTGAAGGTAAATCTGTGTTTTGCTTGGTTCAATATTGGGTCACAAACCTAAACAAATCATGCACCAGTTTTGGGAATAATTTAAGTTTTCCCAGATTCCTTTTTTTTTTTTTTTTTTTAGAAATCTGGGAAAACAGAAAACTCTTTTTTTCCGACTTATCAGGTTTAATCTGCAAGAAAAGCTGCATCTTGCCTCCTGTTCAGGGGAACTTTGGCTGAACTCTGTAGTTCAGTTTGTCATCAGCTGTAACCCTCCAGCTATGCAGAGGATTTGATTTTGTAACTTTGCTGCATAAATCAAACACTAAAGGACCTTCAAAGACAGCTTGACTCGCTGCAGCATCCATATTCAGTTATACTGTTTTGATCTTAGGAAGGTGAATGGTTTCATTTCCATCTGACAGTTAATCTGCCCAGATAAACTCATCTCCCAGAGTTTCCTCTCTGCTCCATCATCCCTTCCTCCTTCCTCGTCCCAAACCAGCTTCGGTCTCAGAGCAGAGCGTCCGTTTCTCATGAACCCCTCAGCGAGTGCAGCTCTAGCTGCCGGCTGCCAGAAACAACATCAGTATAACAGGCCAGCTGAGGGCCGGTGCCCCTTCTTCCCCCTTCCTTCCTGTTTTCATCCTCCCACTCTCTCTCTATCTGACTCTCAGGACCGGTGCTGCGTCAAAGTTTATCTCTGAAGCACCAAAGAGGCCAAACCCTGAAACAAACATGTAGGAACGATCAGAGGAGACAGAACAAACGTGTCTCTGGTCATTCAAATGTTAACCAAAGGAATGTTGATCCACACTGAGTGATAAATAGTTCACTGTGACCACAGGTTAAAATAAAATTCTACCTTTATTAGGAAATAATCACACAGTATTATTATATCTAATAACTATGCAGGCACTAAACACTCCTGAAAATAAGCTCAACTAAATAAAGGGAAAGAGGGGTTTAAGAGTCTATTCAAAGTCAATACAATAAATCCTCTAACAGAAGAGCTATTAGTGTATTGATTGATTGACTTTATTGATCTCACAGTGGAGAAATTAACTCGTTACATCAGCTCAAACAGAAGAAGAAGGTCCATGGGATATATGCAGCACATCCACATATGATTATTGCACTGGGTGTGAAATATAGAGAAACAGGTTATTGCACACGGTACCAAATGGTTAATTGCACATTATATATTGCACAAGTTATCGCTGTTGTAGCGTTGCATAAAGATGCTTTGCAATGTTAAAAGTCACAACCAAGAAAAAAAGCAAGTCTCAATTTGCTGAAACAATTAGTTAGATTACTTGCTATTCATCAGTTATAACAATAATTAACTAATTTAGTGATGGATTAATTGCTAACTTGAGTATAGAGACTGAAACATGCCTTTATCTGAAAGAGAAATCCACTCGAAGCAATTATTATACCAAAATTGTAAAAAAAACAAACATTAATTTCATTCAAGATGAACAATCGTTTTTGTACATTGATATTTCCT